AAGCTTGTTCCGTTTTTGAGCTCCAGCTCAAAGTTGGCGGGCCGTACCGGTGGTTACAAGTTTGTAAAGAAACTGGTTTATCAAGAAGCTTGTTCAATTGAACTTCCGCACCTCGGAACCCCATGTTGGTTGAGGATGGGCCCTCCCAGCCTTGTCCTTGCATAGGTACTCCGGCCTCTCCTCGCCTCCGTCCTGTTCGAGTTGAGACCACGCACCTCGGACCCGATATTGGTTGAGGACAAGTGCTCCGGCCTGGTTCCCACCTCCATCCTCTTCAAGTTGAGACCGCGCACCTGGGACCCCATATTGCTTGAGGATAGGCACTCCGGCCTGGTCTCGGCTTCTGTTCTCTCCAGACCACGAACCTGGGAACCTATGACAGTTGAGGATAGGCGATCCGGCCTTGTCGCCGCCTCCGTCTTCTTCAGGTTGAGACCACGCGCCGAGAACGTATTCTGAGAGTAAGTCCTTCGAGCCTGTTGTCGCCTCCTCTTGAAGCTCGCCTTCTTCTGGCTTCAAGCACCTGGCACTGATTGCACGCTGCGGTAGGGCGCGCACCTAGGACCCCATATCGGTTGAGGATAAGTGCTCCGCCCTCGTCCCCACCTTCACCTTCTTCGGGCCGAGATCGCCTACCTGGGACTCCATGTTGGTCGAGGATAAGCGCTCCGGCCTCGTCCCCGCCTCCGCTTTCGCACCTGGGACCCCATATTGGTTGAGGATAAGCGCTCCGGCCTCGTCCCCGCCTCCGCTTTCGCACCTGGGACCCCTTATTGGTTGAGGATAAGCGCTCCAGCCTCGTCCCTGCCGAGCACGCACCTGGGACCCCAGCTCCCCGCCTCCGCCTTCTTCGGGCTGAGACCACGCGCCTGGAACCCCATATTGCGCCGGCCTGGTCCGCGAGAGCACGCACCTGGGACCCCATATTGGTTGAGGATAAGCGCTCCCGCCTCCGAGCACGCGCCTGGAACATATTGGTTGAGGATAAGCGCCTTCTTCGGGCTGAGACCACGCACCTGGGACCCCATATTGGTTGAGGATGAGTGCTCCGGCCTCGTCCCTGCCTCCGCCTTCTTCGACTGAGCCCACGCACCTGGAACCCCACATTGGTTGAGGATAATCAGCGCTCACCTCCTCACTTCGGTCTCTTGGGGTTGGGACCACGTACCTGGGACACCATGCAGGCGAGCCTGCACGGCTTCGTTCCCGCTCCCGGCCTTTTTCTTCTTGAGGATACGCACCTGGCACTCCACGCTGGTTGCGGTTTGGGAGGGGGGTGGGAGGGGCAGAGCGAGGGGGGGAGGGAGGGGGGGGACCCTCCGGAGGGGGCACCGGGTGGGGAACCCACACCCCATTTTAGTTGAGGTGTTTTTTGGTGTCTGCCCACTACCCCCCGTGAGACTCGTGCGTCTGCCCACTACCCCCCGTGAGACTCGTGCCACCCCCCGGAGGAGGCACCGGGTGGGGAGGGGGAGGGAAGGGGGGAGGGTGGGGGAGGGGGCCGGGGAGGGGTGGGAACCAACACCCCATTTCAGTTGAGGATTGTTTTTTGGTGTCTGCCCACTACCCTCCCGCCCCAGGAGGAGGGGGGAGGGCGCTCAGGGGGAGGGGGGGCGGGGGGGAGACCCCACACCCCATTTTAGTTGAGGATTGTTCTCTCGGCCTTGTCGCTGAGACCACACACCTCGGCAACCACATTGGTTGAGGCTCAAGCTTCCATACCTTGGATCGTCCTTGCCTCTGTCTTCTTCGGCTTGAGCTTCCACACCTCGGAACCCCATACCGGTTGAGGATAAGCCTTCCCGCCTTGTCTCTGCCTCTGTCTTCTTCGGCTGGAGCTTCCGTACCCCGGAAACCCACATCGGTTGAGTATAAACCCTCCCGGCCTTATCCTTGCCTCTGTCTTCTTCGATTTGTGAGCTTCCACGCCTCGGAAACCCGTACTAGTTGAGGATAAACCCTCCCGGCCTTGTCGCTGCGCTTCTGCAGCCTGAGACCCCACGTCTTGGAAACCCATATTGGTTGATGATACACCCTCCCGGCCTTGTCCTTGCCCTTCTTCAGCTTGAGCTTCCACGCCTCGGAAACCCATACTGGTTGAGGATGAGCCCCCCCCCCCCGGCCTTGTCCCTACCTGTGTCTTCTTCAGCTTGAACTTCCACACCTCGGAACCCCATGTTGGTTGAGGATGGGCCCTCCCGGCCTTGTCCTTGCCTCGGAAACTTATATTGGTTGAGGATAAGCCCTCCCGGCCTCGTTCTTACCTCTGTCTTCTTCAGCTTGAGCTTCCTGGGGCCACGCACTTCGAACCCCGGCCTTGTCCTTGCCTCCGTCGTCTTTTTGCTGGGGTCACGCACCTCGGACCTCATATTGGTTGAGGCCTCGTCCTTTCTCTTTTCTCCAAGATGAAACCATGCACCTGGGACCCTATCTTGGTTGAGGATAGGCACTCCGGCCTCTCCTCGCCTCCGTCCTGTTCGAGTTGAGACCACGCACCTCGACCCGGTTTTGGTTGAGGAGAAGTGCTCCGGCCTGGTTCCCGCCTCCATCCTCTTCAAGTTGAGACCGCGCACCTGGGACCCCATATTGATTGAGGATAGGCACTCCGGCCTGGTCTCGGCTTCTGTTCTCTCCAGACCACGAACCTGGGAACCCATGACAGTTGAGGATAGGCGATCCGGCCTTGTCGCCGCCTCTGTCTTCTTCAGGTTGAGACCACGCGCCGAGAACGTATTCTGAGAGTAATTCCTTCGAGCTTGTTGTCGCCTCCTCTTGAAGCTCGCCTTCTTCTGGCTTCAAGCACCTGGCACTGATGCACGCTGCGGTAGGGCACGCACCTAGGAGCCCATATCGGTTGAGGATAAGTGCTCCGCCCTCGTCCCCACCTTCACCTTCTTCGGGCCGAGATCGCGTACCTGGGACTCCACGTTGGTCGAGGATAAGCGCTCCGGCCTCGTCCCCGCCTCCGCTTTCGCACCTGGGACCCCATATTGGTTGAGGATAAGCGCTCCGGCCTCGTCCCTGCCGAGCACGCACCTGGGACCCCAGCTCCGGCCTCGTCCCCGCCTCCGCCTTCTTCGGGCTGAGACCACGCGCCTGGAACCCCATATTGCGCCGGCCTGTCCGCGAGAGCACGCACCTGGGACCCCATATTGGTTGAGGATAAGCGCTCCCGCCTCCGAGCACGCGCCTGGAACATATTGGTTGAGGATAAGCGCTCCGGCCTCGTCGCCTTCTTCGGGCTGAGACCACGCACCTGGGACCCCATATTGGGTGAGGATAAGTGCTCCGGCCTCGTCCCTGCCTCCGCCTTCTTCGACTGAGACCACGCACCTGGGACCCCACATTGGTTGAGGATAATCAGCGCTCACCTCCTCACTTCGGTCTTCTTGGGGTTGGGACCACGTACCTGGGACACCATGCAGGCGAGCCTGCACGGCTTCGTTCCCGCTCCCGGCCTTTTTCTTCTTGAGGATACGCACCAGGCACTCCACGCAGGTAGCGGTCTAAGTGAGCGGGTTTGGGAGGGGGGGTGGGAGGGGCAGAGCGAGGGGGAGGGAAGGGAGCGGGGGAGGGAAGGGGGGGAGGGAGGGGGGGGACCCTCCGGAGGGGGCACCGGGTGGGGGGGGAGGGAGGGGGGGGAGGGTGGGGAGGGGTGCGGGAGCCCCACACCCCATTTTAGTTGAGGATTGTTTTTTGGTGTCTGCCCACTACCCCCTGTGAGACTCGTGCCACCCTCCGGAGGAGGCACCGGGTGGGGAGGGGGAGGGAGGGGGGGAGGGTGGGGAGGGGGGCGGGGAGGGGCGGGAACCAACGCCCCATTTCAGTTGAGGATTGTCTTTTGGTGTCTGCCCACTACCCTCCCGGCCCAGGAGGGGGGGGGGGAGGGCAGGGGAGGGGGGGCGGGGGGGAGACCCCGCACCCCATTGATTTCTGCCACTACCTTCTTTCAGAATTCGTGCCACCCTGCCACCTCTGGAAGGGAGGCCGTCAATAGGGCATGGGAGGGAGAGGGAGGGGGAGGGGGAAGGTCGGCTAGCTCCTGAACTGCATACCTTCAGGTTCCTGTTTTGTTTGAGGAAAAGCTCTCCGGATAAGCCCTCTCAGCCTTGTCGCTGAGACCACACACCTCGGCAACCCACATTGGTTGACGCTCAAGCTTCCATACCCTGGATTGTCCTTGCCTCTGTCTTCTTCGGCTTGAGCTCCCACACCTCGGAACCCCATACCGGTTGAGGATAAGCCTTCCCGCCTTGTCCCTGCCTCTGTCTTCTTCGGCTGGAGCTTCCACACCCCGGAAACCCACATCGGTTGAGGATAAGCTCTCCCCGCCTTGCCGTTGCCTCTGTCTTCTTCGACTTGTGAGCTTCCGCACCTCGGAAACCCACATCGGTTGAGGATAAGCTCTCCCGGCCTTGCCGTTGCCTCTGTCTTCTTCGACTTGTGAGCTTCCGCACCTCGGAAACCCATACTGGTTGAGTATAAACCCTCCCGGCCTTGTCCTTGCCTCTGTCTTCTTCGACTTGTGAGCTTCCACACCTCGGACACCCATACTAGTTGAGGATAAACCCTCCCGGCCTTGTCATTGCGCTTCTGCAGCTTGAGACCCCACGTCTTGGAAACCCATATTGGTTGATGATAAACCCTCCCGGCCTTGTCCTTGCCCTTCTTCATCTTGAGCTTCCACGCCTCGGAAACTTATGTTGGTTGAGGATAAGCCCTCCCGGCCTCGTTCTTGCCTCTGTCTTCTTCAGCTTGAGCTTCCTGGGGCCACGCACTTCGAACCCCGGCCTTGTCCTTGCCTCCGTCGTCTTTTTGCTGGGGTCACGCACCTCGGACCTCATATTGGTTGAGGCATCGTCCTTTCTCTTTTCTCCAAGATGAAACCATGCACCTGGGACCCTATCTTGGTTGAGGATAGGCACTCCGGCCTCTCCTCGCCTCCGTCCTGTTCGAGTTGAGACCACGCACCTCAGACCCGTTTTTGGTTGAGGAGAAGTGCTCCGGCCTGGTTCCCGCCTCCATCCTCTTCAAGTTGAGACCGCGCACCTGGGACCCCATATTGATTGAGGATAGGCACTCCGGCCTGGTCTCGCCTTCTGTTCTCTCCAGACCACGAACCTGGGAACCCATGACAGTTGAGGATAGGCGATCCGGCCTTGTCGCCGCCTCTGTCTTCTTCAGGTTGAGACCACGCGCCGAGAACGTATTCTGAGAGTAAGTCCTTCGAGCTTGTTGTCGCCTCCTCTTGAAGCTCGCCTTCTTCTTGCTTCAAGCACCTGGCACTGATGCACGCTGCGGTAGGGCACGCACCTAGGAGCCCATATCGGTTGAGGATAAGTGCTCCGCCCTCGTCCCCACCTTCACCTTCTTCGGGCCGAGATCGCGTACCTGGGACTCCACGTTGGTCGAGGATAAGCGCTCCGGCCTCGTCCCCTCCTCCGCTTTCGCACCTGGGACCCTATTGGTTGAGGATAAGCGCTCCGGCCTCGTCCCTGCCGAGCACGCACCTGGGACCCCAGCTCCGGCCTCGTCCCCGCCTCCGCCTTCTTCGGGCTGAGACCACGCGCCTGGAACCCCATATTGCGCCGGCCTGGTCCGCGAGAGCACGCACCTGGGACCCCATATTGGTTGAGGATAAGGGCTCCCGCCTCCGAAGCGCTCCGGCCTCGTCGCCTTCTTCGGGCTGAGACCACGCACCTGGGACCCCATATTGGGTGAGGATAAGTGCTCCGGCCTCGTCCCTGCCTCCGCCTTCTTCGACTGAGACCACGCACCTGGGACCCCACATTGGTTGAGGATAATCAGCGCGCACCTCCTCACTTCGGTCTTCTTGGGGTTGGGACCACGTACCTGGGACACCATGCAGGCGAGCCTGCACGGCTTCGTTCCCGCTCCCGGCCTTCTTCTTCTTGAGGATACGCACCTGGCACTCCACGCTGGTTGCGGTCTAAGTGAGCGGGTTGGGAGGGGAGGGCGGTGGGAAGGGGGTGGGAGGGGCAGAGCGGATGGAGGGGGAGGGGGAGGGGGAGGGTTCTTCGGGCCGAGATCGCGTACCTGGGACTCCACGTTGGTCGAGGATAAGCGCTCCGGCCTCGTCCCCGCCTCCGCTTTCGCACCTGGGACCCCTTATTGGTTGAGGATAAGCGCTCCGGCCTCGTCCCTGCCGAGCACGCACCTGGGACCCCAGCTCCGGCCTCGTCCCCACCTCCGCCTTCTTCGGGCTGAGACCACGCGCCTGGAACCCCATATTGCGCCAGCCTGGTCCGCGAGAGCACGCACCTGGGACCCCATATTGGTTGAGGATAAGCGCTCCCGCCTCGGAGCACGCGCCTGGAACATATTGGTTGAGGAAAAGCGCTCCGGCCTCGTCGCCTTCTTCGGGCTGAGACCACGCACCTGGGACCCCATATTGGGTGAGGATAAGTGCTCCGGCCTCGTCCCTGCCTCCGCCTTCTTCGACTGAGACCACGCACCTGGGACCCCACATTGGTTGAGGATAATCAGCGCTCACCTCCTCACTTCGGTCTTCTTGGGGTTGGGACCACGTACCTGGGACACCATGCAGGCGAGCCTGCACTTTAGTTGAGGATTGTCTTTTGGTGTCTGCCCACTACCCTCCCGGCCCAGGAGGGGGGGGGGGAGGGCGGGGGAGGGGGGGCGGGGGGGAGACCCCGCACCCCATTGATTTCTGCCACTACCTTCCCTGAGAATTCGTGCCATTCCGGGAAGGGAGGCCGTCAATAGGGCATGGGAGGGGGAGGGAGGGGGAGGGGGAAGGTCGGCTAGCTCCTGAACTGCATACCTTCAGGTTCCTGTTTTGTTTGAGAAAAAGCTCTCCGGATAAGCCCTCTCAGCCTTGTCGCTGAGACCACACACCTCGGCAACCCACATTGGTTGAGGCTCAAGCTTCCATACCCTGGATTGTCCTTGCCTCTGTCTTCTTCGGCTTGAGCTCCCACACCTCGGAACCCCATACCGGTTGAGTATAAGCCTTCCCGCCTTGTCCCTGCCTCTGTCTTCTTCGGCTGGAGCTTCCACACCCCGGAAACCCACATCGGTTGAGGATAAGCTCTCCCGGCCTTGCCGTTGCCTCTGTCTTCTTCGACTTGTGAGCTTCCGCACCCCGGAAACCCACATCGGTTGAGGATAAGCTCTCCCGGCCTTGCCGTTGCCTCTGTCTTCTTCGACTTGTGAGCTTCCGCACCTCGGAAACCCATATTGGTTGAGTATAAACCCTCCCGGCCTTGTCCTTGCCTCTGTCTTCTTCGACTTGTGAGCTTCCACACCTCGGAAACCCATACTAGTTGAGGATAAACCCTCCCGGCCTTGTCATTGCGCCTCTGCAGCTTGAGACCCCACGTCTTGGAAACCCATATTGGTTGATGATAAACCCTCCCGGCCTTGTCCTTGCCCTTCTTCATCTTGAGCTTCCACGCCTCGGCAACTTATATTGGTTGAGGATAAGCCCTCCCGGCCTCGTTCTTGCCTCTGTCTTCTTCAGCTTGAGCTTCCTGGGGCCACGCACTTCGAACCCCGGCCTTGTCCTTGCCTCCGTCGTCTTTTTGCTGGTGTCACGCACCTCGGACCTCATATTGGTTGAGGCCTCGTCCTTTCTCTTTTCTCCAAGATGAAACCATGCACCTGGGACCCTATCTTGGTTGAGGATAGGCACTCCGGCCTCTCCTCGCCTCCGTCCTGTTCGAGTTGAGACCACGCACCTCGGCCCCGATATTGGTTGAGGAGAAGTGCTCCGGCCTGGTTCCCGCCTCCATCCTCTTCAAGTTGAGACCGCGCACCTGGGACCCCATATTGATTGAGGATAGGCACTCCGGCCTGGTCTCGGCTTCTGTTCTCTCCAGACCACGAACCTGGGAACTCATGACAGTTGAGGATAGGCGATCCGGCCTTGTCGCCGCCTCTGTCTTCTTCAGGTTGAGACCACGCGCCGAGAACGTATTCTGAGAGTAAGTCCTTCGACCTTGTTGTCGCCTCCTCTTGAAGCTCGCCTTCTTCTGGCTTCAAGCACCTGGCACTGATGCACGCTGCGGTAGGGCACGCACCTAGGACCCCATATCGGTTGAGGATAAGTGCTCCGCCCTCGTCCCCCCCTTCACCTTCTTCGGGCCGAGATCGCGTACCTGGGACTCCACGTTGGTCGAGGATAAGCGCTCCGGCCTCGTCCCCGCCTCCGCTTTCGCACCTGGGACCCCATATTGGTTGAGGATAAGCGCTCCGGCCTCGTCCCTGCCGAGGGACCCCAGCTCCGGCCTCGTCCCCGCCTCCGCCTTCTTCGGGCTGAGACCACGCGCCTGGAACCCCATATTGCGCCGGCCTGGTCCGCGAGAGCACGCACCTGGGACCCCATATTGGTTGAGGATAAGCGCTCCCGCCTCCGAGCACGCGCCTGGAACATATTGGTTGAGGATAAGCGCTCCGGCCTCGTCGCCTTCTTCGGCCTGAGACCACGCACCTGGGACCCCATATTGGGTGAGGATAAGTGCTCCGGCCTCGTCCCTGCCTCCGCCTTCTTCGACTGAGACCACGCACCTGGGACCCCACATTGGCTGAGGATAATCAGCGCTCACCTCCTCGCTTCGGTCTTCTTGGGGTTGGGACCACGTACCTGGGACACCATGCAGGCGAGCCTGCACGGCTTCGTTCCCGCTCCCGGCCTTCTTCTTCTTGAGGATACGCACCTGGCACTCCACGCTGGTTGCGGTCTAAGTGAGCGGAGGGGGAGGGGGAGGGAAGGGGGGAGGGAGGGGGGGGACCCTCCGGAGGGGGCACCGGGTGGGGGGGGAGGGAGGGGGGGGAGGGTGGGGAGGGTGCGGGGGGAACCCCACACCCCACATTAGTTGAGGATTGTTTTTTGGTGTCTGCCCACTACCCCCCGTGAGACTCGTGCCACCCTCCGGAGGAGGCACCGGGTGGGGAGGGGGAGGGAGGGGGGGAGGGTGGGGGAGGGGGGCGGGAGGGGCGGGAACCAACGCCCCATTTTAGTTGAGGGGGAAGACCCCGCACCCCATTGATTTCTGCCACTACCTTCCCTGAGAATTCGTGCCACCCTGCCAACTGTGGAAGGGGCGGAAAAGGCCGTCAATAGGGCATGGGAGGGGGAGGGAGGGGGAGGGGGAAGGTCGGCTAGCTCCTGAACTGCATACCTTTAGGTTCCTGTTGGAAAAGCTCTCCGGATAAGCCCTCTCAGCCTTGTCGCTGAGACCACACACCTCGGCAACCCACATTGGTTGAGGCTCAAGCTTCCATACCCTGGATTGTCCTTGCCTCTGTCTTCTTCGGCTTGAGCTCCCACACCTCGCAACCCCATACCGGTTGAGGATAAGCCTTCCCGCCTTGTCCCTGCCTCTGTCTTCTTCGGCTGGAGCTTCCACACCCCGGAAACCCACATCAGTTGAGGATAAGCTCTCCCGGCCTTGCCGTTGCCTCTGTCTTCTTCGACTTGTGAGCTTCCGCACCTCGGAAACCCATACTGGTTGAGTATAAACCCTCCCGGCCTTGTCCTTGCCTCGAAACCCATACTAGTTGAGGATAAACCCTCCCGCCCTTGTCGTTGCGCTTCTGCAGCTTGAGACCCCACGACTTGGAAACCCATATTGGTTGATGATAAACCCTCCCGGCCTTGTCCTTGCCCTTCTTCATCTTGAGCTTCCACGCTCCTTCTTGCACATGTCTTGCAGTGGTTGCACATGTCTGCAGATGTTGGTTCCCGCTTTTCTTCCCACCATCAAGGCGTTCGTGTGCGCGTTGCAAGCAGCCCAGGGGCCAACCATGTTAACGTCCAGTCAGACCTCATCCGTTCCCACGCATCCTATGGGCCAACCATGATAACTTCCACTCCGACCTCATCCGTTCCCGCGCATCGAATGGGCCAACCATGATAACGTCCACTCAGACCCCATCCGTTCCCGCATAGCACCCGGACCAACCATGAGAACATCCACTCAGACCTCATCCGTT